TATATAATTTATAAAGTATTCACCCTGAATCAAGACAATCTAGAGCAAAGTTGTTGGGGTTGGGGGGCAGAGAAGGGGTAGAAGAAAAAGATGAAATTAGCTAATTTTATTATGACTATTACTCATAGTATTTCACTTATAGATACTCATCGACAATAAAAGAAGGGAGCAAAGGTAATACTTAAAGGTCATAGTCTAAGATAACTATGGCAACAAAAATATAAACCTTTCTAAATACAAAACATAGTAAGAGAGAGAAAGGAAGACAGATTACACCCATAAAATAGGTTACACAGTGAAAGATCATCTAGCTAATAAAGAGGAAATAAAACTATAACAGTAAACAGGTATGATAAATCACACAAAAGGAGTTCTTATCTTTTAAAGATATATACAGAATTCATCTAAAATAATAAATGGGTAATAGGCTAATTAGATCGGATATCCTTCTGGACGACCTTCCAAATGAAGCCAGGGCTGCGAGAGACGCCCGGGTCCCTGATGCCAGAGAGAAGCTGGTGCCCACAGCCAGGGGAAGGAAGGCCTACTCTTGCACGAATTTTGTGCATCAGGCCTCAATTATGTCATAAAATAATGCCTGGAATTTTCTTCAAAATAGCATGAGATGAGGGGAAATGAATGGGATTATGAAAGAAGAATGATTACACATTAACAGTGGTTGAAGCTGGGTGATGGGTATGTGGTATATCATAATACGATTCTGTTTGCTTTGTATGTATTTACATTTTCCCATAATAAAAAGTTTAAAAATAAACTATTTATCCTTACAAACAAAGCTCTATTAATTAATCTTGGATTAAAATAGAATGTGTCAAATTTCTCCCAGGTCCTGTAAGGACTGTGCCCCATAGTGTATACGTCAGTGAAAAAGTCCTCATGAAATAAAATACTACATTTCCCAACTCATAGTCAACATTCCCATTCTGATCTACTCACAGTTTCCACACTGCCTGTCCAAACAGCTCATGCTGCACCTACCCTCGCACACTGAGATTTGGTTAAATGATTATTTGGAGGAAGAAGCTGGAAATAAGCTAACTTTCTGTGTAAACTGGGTTGGGAGAGCTGTTAAGTGCAAGAGTGGACTGGGTGTTCTTGGTTTATTGGTTCTATGGGTATCATTTTTTGTTTTCTCAATCACTTTGCAAGGAGTGGATATGACTTCCAAGAGAATAAGGCTTTCGGTTCATTCGGTCAAAAGGCCTTTGTGGGATCTGTGATTTTTTTGGTCAGAGTCAAGGGCTCATTTGGAATTAAGAAACAAACTTTGTCCTGATCAGTGTGGCTCAGGGGTTAAGCATCGACCTAGGAACCAGGAGGACACGGTTCGATTCCTGGTCAGGGCACATGCCCAGGTTATGGGCTGGATCCTCAGTGGGAGGGTGTGCAGGAGGCAGCCAGTAGATGATTCTCTCTCATTGTTGATGTTTCCATCTCTCTCTCCCTTTCGCTTCCTCTCTAAAATAAATTAGAATATATTTTTTTAAAAAGAAACAAACTTTGAAAGGCATTGCCTCCAGGGATACCTTCCTACACCATCTGTTCACAGACTTCCAGAAGAGCAAAAACCAGAGCAAGGGGAACAGCCCAAGTAAGCAGACCTTATGCATGTGCTACGCCTTGAGTGTGCACTGGAGCTTTGCATTTCAAGAAGGTAAATAAATAACCACATAAAAAAGGCACTTGAAAAAGTCTTTCCCAATACAGGCTTTTACATGACTTCCTTGTCTAAAGTATGCATGCACAGATGGTGAGGGAAAAGACTCAAAAGCTACCTGGCCAGGCTGGAGGAAGTCTCAGATTTCGGTGACCCAACTACACACATAGGTACATTGCTGCTGTGTTAGGGAGGTGG